TTAAAAAATAAATTATCATCCGGCGAAATTCTACAAGCAAAACTTTTTTAGAAATAAATCGTCACCAGAGGGATAAGACCAAATCTACATTTAACAGCGCATTTATCAAGTGGATATAAAGGACTGAAATTCCCTAACTGGAAAGGATGCAAGTTTAAGACGTCTGTAAGACCGCCAGTTCCAATTCTTTACTTTTTAATGTTTTAATTGGATTTTTTTGTGTGTTTTTAAAGGAATGTTTTAGCCAGATGACCTAGTAGCCTACAAAGAAAGGTCCGGTCGTCGATGGTGTTCTGGAACACATGATCAGAAGAAATGGTGGTTTCAAAAAGAAATTTTGAGCAGACTGTGTCTTTTTTGATTAAAAAATAAATTATCATCCGGCGAAATTCTACAAGCAAAACTTTTTTAGAAATAAATCGTCACCAGAGGGATAAGACCAAATCTACATTTAACAGCGCATTTATCAAGTGGATATAAAGGACTGAAATTCCCTAACTGGAAAGGATGCAAGTTTAAGACGTCTGTAAGACCGCCAGTTCCAATTCTTTACTTTTTAATGTTTTAATTGGGTTTTTTTGTGTGTTTTTAAAGGAATGTTTTAGCCAGATGACCTAGTAGCCTACAAAGAAAGGTCCGGTCGTCGATGGTGTTCTGGAACACATAATCAGAAGAAATGGTGGTTTCTAAAAGAAGACACAGTCTGCTCTCTTCTTTTTTTATTAAATAATAATAATAATAATACATTATTTATAAAATGATTATAACAAGTTTTGTTTTTTTTATTATGTCTAGAATAATTTTTTGTATTTGTATATTTACAGTTGCCATAATTTAGGACCATGGGGTATTTGGGATGGCATATTTGAATTTTGGGTAAAAGGATCTGTGCAAGGAGAAAAACTTCTTTCAGAGGAAGTAAGTACAGATTTTTCATTTTATGATAGTTCTAAATTATATAAATGCAGAGTAATTTTTATTCAGTGATATTTAAAGCTAGTTTTGATCATCTAATGTATGTATGTATATTAAATAATCAAAACTAGCTTGAAATGCTTCTGATTTTAAAATAAATTTGGTACTTTTAATATTATAACTAATAGTATTAAATTTACTTCAAAACCAGAAACATTTCAAGGTAGTTTTGATCATCTAGTCTTCTCACCTTTACATACTTTTTAACTTGAAGAATTATTAGATTGTCCATGTACAAGATGCAGAGTTTATTATTGGTAATAACATGAACTTTCAATTTTGTAGCTTTTTTAACTTAATGAAATTTTATATCGTTATTAACTTAACTTTCAAAACTGTCTAATGAGTTGATACATTTTTGTGATTTTGAATGCTTTTCTGTCAAACTAACAATCTTTTAATAACAAATTGATTTGAATTTATTTAAAAACAAATTAAAATATAGTTATTATTATTATTTTTTAATGTATTACTTTAGCTTTAATTTAAGTGTGTTTTTCATGTTGGAACGANGAAAGTTATAAAATCCTAATATCTTATTTGTTTATTTTTTATTCAAAATTATATGAAATGCTATTTTTTTATTAAAGAATATTAATAAATTTTTCTTCAGTTAACAAAATCAATAATTTTTTAAGAATTAAACATGCAGTCCAAAATAGTAAGTTAATACTGTATTTTTGCAGATTGCCCAGCATGCTGCATATAACTGGGGGGACCAGCATTCTGGAAACTCTGGGGTTATTATCATGCCAGTTAAACTGCAACTAAAAAATATAATTAATTAGCTATAACAAAACTAGTTGTTAATTAAATATTTAAGAAAACATTATTCAGAGTACAATAAAATAATAGCATTGTAATTTGACTGAGTTAAAATCAGGAAGAGTTTTCATTTACAAGACAATAAAACAATTAACAAGTTATTGACAGTAGTATAGCAGTAGTTAATCAGTGTGGACTACACTGACAATCTACTCTGACCTTAAAAATAACACCTTCCTCTCAAATTTCACACAAAGTGGATGTTAATTGGTGTAAGTTGAGATAATTCACAGTGAATATTTGAAATTTGATAAGTTTGCATTTTTGAATCAAATTACAATAAAATAAACAAAAAAGCACTTTTGGCATTCCATGAGTATTTTATGTCATTAGAAAGAAGACAACATGAAGAAATTAAACATATAATTGTAGTTTTTAATGTAATGCTGACAGTTTCAAAGTTTTAGAATAAAAATTTGTTTGTTCTTTTAATGTGCCCTCTAAAGAGGGATGTATAACCTCACCTAAACTGGCATGCTGGTATTCCTCCTGGGATAAACTGGCATGTTGGTTTTCACCATATGGAAGTATCTGATTTCATGGTCTCCCCAAATAGACCAACATGCTGGACAATCTGCGAAAATTTGGTATTTTATTGATCTTGATTGATATTACGAATACAGTAATACCTCGACTTACGCAAACCTGGAGTTACATGATTTTCAAATCTCGTCGATTCATTTTTTTATTTGAGCACCACACAACTCTTGATTACTCACTCTTCCCACACTATTGTTCAGCTTACATGTTCGGACATGTTGCGTGGAATTGACATATAGCTACAATTTATTTTGTGTTTGTTATATCTACGGAGACTTGAGAGACTCTACTATGTCATCCAAATGAAGTAGAACTGATTCTTCTGCATCAAACAGGAAAAGAAAAACTTTATCTTTGGAATGTAAAGTTAACATTATTAAAAACTTTGATACAAAACTGAAAATTTGTGAATTGGCAAAGAAATTTGACATACCAGAATCGACGGTCAGAACAATTATAAAAGGTAAAGAAAAAATTCTCAAAGTTGTGAAAAATGCTCAATCTTTAAATTCAAGCATCATTCGTGAACATCGCGGTATTATCGCTGAGATGGAAATAATGTTAAAATTATGGTGTGATAATCAAGTAAATGTGAAAAATTGTATAATAATATAATTTGTTATACATATGTATTATCTAAGATNTTTTTATTCAGGTAATTACATGCCTATATGAAATTATTATTTGGCTTAAAAATTAGGATTACATATATTACACAATTTTTTTTATGTTGTTTTTTTAAAGGCTTTTGTAACAATATGTGATCTACTTATTGTGTTCTGTAAACAACTGGCAGACAATGCAGCTCTGATACCTCTTGTTTATGAACCAGATCGATCTTTACAGAATCAACTTGGCGCTTTTATTCAGGACAAAGTTTTTGTTGAAGATGATGATGGTATGTAAGTTTAGAATTAGTCTTTTTATTTTATTATTAAATTTTATAACCTTATTAATTTTTTTAAAGATGAACAAGATGAACATATGAAAATTGAAGAGCTTCACAAAAGACGAAATTTTTTGGCATCATTCTGTAAACTTGTTGTATATAATATAATAAGTATTAAGCAGGCTTCAGATGTTTTTAAACATTATGTTAAGGTAAATATGATTATCACTATTATTTGATTACAGTAGTACCTCAGGATACGAACACTCCAGGATATGACATGAAATTCAAACATATTTTTGCTCTACAGTACAAACAAAAACTCACCATATGACATTACATTAGTTTGCAGTGCCACCACCATGATCACGTATTCCTTCTGTTAATTGGTCTCAGTCCGCGTGTTTGCTTCGTCATGAAAGGATCTCACTCAATAAAGGAAATCTTGAGGTATTATCAGAAAGTGACTGATTTTATTGAAAAGAAACATCCTGAAAAGGTTCTCACTTGGCTGTATTGCTGCTCAGTTTAATGACATTTGCCTAAGTTATTTTAGAAACATTTTAAAAAGTAGGCAAAGCCAAACAAACCTCTTTGAATAGATATTTTACCAAACGATCTCTATCCAGTGAAAGTACTGGTGGAAGTGAAGGAAAGAAAGCAAAAGGCAGTGAATAAAAATTAAAAAATAATATATAAAACAGAAAAGATAAAAGTAACTTATTGTTACATTATGTTATGTAAGTTAACTTTTAGTAACATTTCCCTTTTCCCTCTCCTCTGCCACCAGTTTACACCTCCACTGTTGTCTATCCTCAGAGGTAAAGGGCAAATAAAACTACATTTTTTTAATCAATTATTATTCTATTATGGTTATTTATACATTTACAACTACAAAATGCATTTTTCAGTGTTTTCCTTGCTAAAGTTATTATTATTATTTTTTAATGTACAGTAATACCTCTACTTACGCTATCCCAACTTATGCGAACCTAGAGTTACGTGATATTCAAATCTTGTCGATTCGTCTTTTGTTTCAGCGCCACGCAACTCTTTATTACTCACTCCCCCCACACTTTTGTTCAGCTTACATGTTCGGACGTGTCACGCGGAATCGACACATAACTACAATTTATTTTGTGTTATTTATTTCTGTGTTTGTTATATCTGTGGAGACTTGAGAGACTCTATGTGGTGATTTCTTGTAATCGTGAACAAATCAAAAGATGAGATAAGATTAACAAGAACATTTATTAGCTTACATACACCCGACTTGGATTTTACACAAATTGCGAAATTATACCCCGACTTACGCGGTTATCGCTCAGTCCCACCTATCACGTAAGTTTGGGGTATTACTGTACTACTTAGCTTTAATTTAAGTGTGTTTTTCATGTTGGAACGGATTATTTGGTTTTACATGTAATCATATGGAGAAAAATGATTCACCTTATGACATTTTCATGATACGATCTCAGTTTCGGAACGGATTAATCTTGTATCCTGAGGTACTACTGTATATGATTTAAACAAATTTGCATTTTGAAGCAATAATTCCCTAGAAACATAAAAAGTTCCACATTTTGAATAAGTTAGAAATTAAAACAAATTTCAATATTAACATCAGATTTATCATCATATTAGGTAGTCAAAATCCTATTAAAATTGCTTGAACTTTAAATTTTGAATATTGGAACTTTCAGATATAGCTAATGCTGAAAAATAAAATGACAAAATATAGTATACAGATCAGATTTTACAGTGTGCATAATTCTAAATTATGAATGTAACTAACACATATCCAGTAGATGGCTTGCTTTGAAATATTTGAATGCTGTAACCAAAGATAGACCTGCCTACTATTTGGGAGATGTAAATTTATATTTTGATCAGAGCTGACTGTATAAATTAATATAGAAACTTCTGTCTTTCAGAAATTTCTATATTAAATGATTAAATCATATTATTCTAGTAGTTACATTTAGAGATAATAATTATAAGATGACACTGTAATATCAAATTTATTTATGAATTAATTTTAATTATAATTGAATTAGTAAAACATCCAGCAGTTTTTATTGCAGTTTAATTATAAATTATCATTACAATATAACAATTATCCAAGTTTATAAAGATTTTCTTATGAAATATATAAGGCCAGTAGTAACTTCTACTTTCAATCAGAAAAACAGTAAAAAAAATGTAATTTAATTTACTGTCAGAAATTTGAGTTATACTTTAATATTAATGGAACTTTATTGCGTAAAATAATTACAATATCAGTTATAAAAAAAATGCTTTATTTTGAAATAATTGTTGTAAAAATAATTGATAAATACTAAGTCTTAGCATTTTATTCCACCTAAAGGATGTAAAACATTTAAGTTCCATCCAAATTATAACCTTTTTTTTGTCCTGAATGGTCTTTAATGAAAGCAAAATGTTTTTTTTTTCACTGACAGCTGTATTTACCACAAACTAATTAAGTCATTTATAAATCAATTTAGCAATACAATCAAACTGAATTTATACAACCCTTCAAATTTTCTGGAGTATAGTACTCCATGAAACTCCATGGATTGCCATAGAGTCTTTATCCTTTAATTGAAAATATGGAATGTACTTATTGATATACTCTACTAATATAAAATTACAATGGAACTATAATTCCATCTGCAACAGGAGCTGAGATAATTTTACCTTCCCATTCTGGGGATAAAAATTTACTGATGCACCATTGCATAGTTCATGCTCAATAATGTATGAAAGCAAGTGTCATTTACATAAATATGACAGTTCTTTAAGCTTTTAGCTTGCATTCTTTTTGATTGCTTTTTAGGAGACACTTTGTATACTGGGCACCACTTATTCATTCAAAAGTTTTATGATAAAAAAAAAAAAGATTAAAATCACAACAAAGTATTTTATACAGGGTATACCTAAATGATGTCTCCAGTTTTCAAAAAAGTGTTACCTACAGTGTATTGAACATAGGTCAGATATGGAGACACACTCAAAGTTTCTCACATATCCTATGAGCCCCTCTTGTTACCTTACAGACATTATCTCAGCAGTGCAGTTAATTGTTGGTGATATGGACCTGCAGATCTTCCAGATTTGTCTGCAGTGGTGGCACAAACAGAGAATCCTTTACATATATCTCCACAAGTATGAAGTTGGGGGATTGTAGAGGCCAGGATAAGAGTTGTTGATTGCTGTTTTCCAAATGACCAATTCATTTCTTTGGTAATCATGTGTTAAGAAATTTCATGCACCTGATTGAGAGATGCTTATCTTATATCATCCCATGTCTTTATTACATCTTTTGGGATTTGACTACAAGAACTTCTAATCAGGACATTCATTTAGGTACACCCTGTATACAGAGTGGATTTTTGATCTGATGATTGATGGAACAGTTTAAAATTTTTTTTTTACATATTTGAGAATTTCTTTTATTGTGACTACCTTCAGCAAAGAATCTTATACTGGCTAAGTTATAAAAAATTTACAAAAAAGTCATATCTCAAAAAATAACAATAAAAACAAAATTATTGCAAATAATTTAACTATCTTACTTTAAATAAATTCCATTTTGTTAACAAATTTTCCATTTTATGAAAAATAATAAAATATTTAGTCCTCANGGAAATAATGTTAAAATTATGGTGTGATAATCAAGTAAATGTGAAAAATTGTATAATAATATAATTTGTTATACATATGTATTATCTAAGATTTTATTAAACATTTTTTTCTAAATTATTGGTTTCTTTAGTCTCTCTGGCTTCAATTAAAAATTATTTGTATGTATTTATATGCGAAATTATACCCCGACTTACGTGAATTCGACTTTCGCGGTTATTGCTCGGTTCCACCTATTGCGTAAGTTCAGGGTATTACTGTATACATTTTGGGTTGATCATTCCATATACATTTACTTTTAAAATATAAATCGCTCTCACAAATAGACTATATTTCTTGTATGTTTTTATTAATTCCTTTTTGTTATTTTCAAAACTTCATGTTAATATTTTAAGTTAAAAAGAAAATTATAATACAGTACACTCTTAATAATCCAGTCTCTTAGTTATCCAGCATATTTTCCATTATAGTCTAACATGTTTGTCTCTTATTTGTGTTTTTGTTTTTTAAATACATATAGTAAACTTATAACTTTACTTCTTCATTAAACTTAATGTTAAAATTACTATAACACACTACACAATAACAAAAACAGTCATTAAATTTCATCTGACATTTTATAAATTAATAAAAAGATGTAGAACACACAATTTTATTCTTATTGTATTATCTGACTTTTTAATTTAAAAGAAAACAATTCTGCTTAAGAAATGATCAAAATATTAGAGAAAACTCTTGTACATTCAACAATACAAATGTGTTCATATAAAAAAATTAAAGAATTATTGTAATTTATTATAACAATTAAATTTTACTAATTAAAATTTTTGTGTAAATATTGTTACTGTAAAATTAAAGCCAAATGATGCTGGATTAGATTAGGCTATATTATTGCTATTGTTAATAATTAAAATTCTAAGTAATTTGGCCTAGAGGTAGATGTTAGTTACCATTTCTTATTAAATTTAGGCTGCATTCACACTGCTGATGAGAACGACCACAGATCCTAAATGATAACAATAGTTTCTTGTTTTTCATTGTTTTCATTCATTGCCAAAGTGTTTACATTGTTATTAGATTTTGTCTTAGAGCATGTGCAATGTACATTAGGCTTAGTGTTATTCTGTGACTTTCTACATTTTTAGACTGGACTCGTTTCTGTTTTAAAATTGGATATGCAGAGCAAAATATTAATTCTTCTACTTCAACAGGAATTTATTACTTTTGTTATGGAAAATATCAAAATGTTGATAATCATAGCCCTTCATACTGAGAGAAAACAAGGTGATTTCTATGCTTTGGTCCAGGAATTACAATTGAAAGATACAAAAAGAATTTCAAAAACTCCTTTGATATGTCTCCAAATATTTTAGATCATTTATTAAGCTTCACAGGGCCTCTTTCTTCAACATTGAGAGATTAGTGGTTCCTCCAAGTTGGAGGAACCACTAATCTCTCAAAGAAAGTTCAAAGAATTGTGGGAAGTTGACATTGATTGGCCAATTCCATTATGACAATGACAAATGTTGAATCTTGGCTAACTTTGGAATGACGAATGACTAAGATG